CGGGTTGTTTCCAAGTTGGGGCTAGCACTTTCCAGAGTCATACACGGTGAAGGCTGTGAATTCGAGTGCCCATGGGGTGACTGGATAGCTTACAACGTGAGGTTGGTGTGGGCTGCTGGACGGGTAAAATTCATTTAACTGCGTTCCTTTAGATGATTTGATGTTATTTGGGATTAGACTTTTTAAAGCAGCCAAGGTATCGGTGGTGCTTACTGAATGGCATGATGATAATCATGAATCAAGTCCCTGTTTTTTACTTGCTGTTCACTTGGAGTGAGTAGCAAACCATGACAAGCTAAGCTTACTACTATCTAGCCATGGCAGTGAAGCGTGGGCTGAAGAAAGGGCAGGAGACATATTTGGCAGCGTTAATAGAATCAAACCAGATTAGAAGGTTGAAGTGCCGAATACAGTGGCAGAGTTGTTGAAAGACTTTGCTGATGTTATGCCAAGAGAGTTGCCCAAAGACTTCCTCCAAGACGAGTTATTGATCACAATTGGTTGGAACTAGGGGCGTTCCCACGCTCGTCCACCTTACAGAATGTCACCTATGGAGTTGAAAGAACTCCGAAAACAACTTGGTGATTTACTTGATGTAGGTGCAGTGAGACCGTCAAAGGCTCTGTATGGTGCTCCTGTGTTGTTTCAGAAAGCAAGATGGTCCTTGGATGTGCGTGGATTATAGGGCATTGAACAAGGTGACAATTCGGAACAAGTATCCTGTTCCCCTTGTTCAAGACCTCCTGGATAGGAGGGTGGAGCTTCGGTTTTCACTAAGTTAGACTTGCGATCGGGATATTGGCAAGTCAGAATTGCGGCAGGAGATGAGCCCAAAACCACTTGTGTGACCAGGTATAGGTCCTATGAATCTTAGTATGCCATTTGGCTTGACAAATGCAACGGCTACTTTTGCAATTTAATGAATGATGTACTGTATGAATTCTAGATGAGTTTGTGGTGGGTATTTTGGATGATATTGGATATATAGTCGGAATCTGGATGAGCATTTGATTCATATGAGAAGGGTACTAACGCGGTTGAGAGAACTCAGTTGTATGTGAAAATGGAGAAGTGTGAGTTTGCTAAACAGGAGATAGTTCTTGGGGCACTTGGTGAGTAAAGGCCAAGTGAGGATGGATCCTAAGAAGGTGCAGGCAATTGTAGAGTGGGTGGCTCCTACAAAGTCCCGGAGGGAGATCTTTCTAGAGATTAGCAAAATATTACGCAAGTTTATTGGGGGGTACTCAAAGAAGGGTGCACCGTTGACCGATCTGTTGAAAAAGGGGCAACAATGGGAGTGGAACAGATCATGTTCAAAGGCTTTCGAAAGGTTGAAGGAAGCCATTGCCTCTGAACCGGTGTTGAGATTGCCAAGTTTTGAGTTACCGTCGAAGTACTAAGATGGTTCGGAGAAAGCTATCGGTGGGGTGCTGGTCCAGGAGGGACATCCCATTGCGTTTGAAAGCCGAAAGTGAATGGGTAGAGCAGAGGTATTCTGCACATGAGAAAGAGATGGTGGTTGTTGTATTGTTTGCAGGTGTGGAGAGTTTACTTGCTAGGCACAAATTTGTCGTGTGACAGACAATGTCGCAACACCTTCTTCAAAACAAGAAGAAGTTGTCCCAAAACAGGCCCAGTGGCAAGACTTTTGGCTGAGACGATTTTGCATGGGAACACAAGCCAGGAAGGCACAATCAGGTTGCTGATGCGTTGAGCAGAAAAAAGGTTGTTGCTGCTCTATATGCAATAACTCGGGTTGAATCTGACATGTTAGACAGGTTGCGAGGGGCGGCCGAACAGGATGTGAGTATAAGGACTATGGTGACACTAGTTCAGAATGGTACTACGGCGTTATGGTTAGAGGATGGGTTATTGTATGCCAAAGGAGATAGGCTATTTGTTCCAGTAAGGGTGGATTAGACGGGTATTGCTGAAGAAGTCCACGATCACCTTAGGCTGGACATCCTGGTAGGGAGAGAACTTTGGCATGACACGGGATTATTATTGGCCTAGAATGGAAGCTGATATTGGTCCTATGTGAAAACTTGTTGGTGTGTCAAATAGACAAGACAGAAAGGAGAAAGGTAGCAAGGTTGTTGCAACCTCTACCCATTCCGGAGAGGCTTGGGTGTCAGCCTCTTGACTTTATTGGTGGGTTCCTAAAGGTAGAGGTATGTCTTCTGTCCTTGTTGTGTGGATAGATTTTGAAATAGCAATTTTTATAGCAGCACTAGAAGCTTGTTCAGCGGAGACAGCTGCTGCTTTGTTTTATAAAATATGGTGAAGTATTTCGGAGTACCAGTAGACTTGGTTAGTGATCGGGATGCACGGTTTACTGGAAGGTTTGGGTTACTCTATTCAATATGATGGGGACGAATTGAAGTTTCTACAGCTAATCATCCACAAACGAATGGTCAGACTGAACGGGTGAATGCATTGCTGGAGGAGTATCTTCGGCATTATGTGAAAACTGTCAACGAAATTGGCAGAATTGTGGATTCTGCACAGTTTTGCTACAATTTGCATAAGTCATCTTCGACCGAGCTGAGTCCTTCTGAGTTAGTGTTGGGGCAACAACCTTTGACCCCATTGAGATTGCTAGACAGCCAGCAAAGGGGAAATTTCCTGCTGTTGACAAGGTGGCTAGGGACAGACAAATATAATTGACCAGTCAAGATAGTTTGCGGAAGGCAAGCCAGAGAGATGAAAAAGTATGCTGATGCTAAGAGGAGGCGTTGGAGTTTGAGGTGGGTGACCAGGTACTACTCAAGCTCACTCCTCAGATTTGGAAGAAAATCGAAAGCAAACGGGTACATAGGGCATTGGTTCCAAAGGATGATGGACCGTTTGAAGTTGTAAGTAGAGTGGATGTTGTTGCTTACAAGTTGAAATTGCCTGAGCGGATCAAGGTACATCCCACATTCCATGTGAGCTTCTTGAAACCTTTCCATGCAGATAAGGGTGATTCTTCAGAACCCAAGCTAAGAGAGCTCCTCCAATGATTAGGAAACAGTTTGATGATGAAATTGAGAAATTTTAGATCACAGGAGGATGGGCAGCATAAAAAGAATCGCGAATTGAATATTGGTGGAAGTGGAAGAGGGGGAAAGACAGCGAGGTTTCATGGGAAAGGGACATAGATTTGTGGCAGTTGAGGATGTTGTGCAGGAGTACATTTCCACCATTCCGACGAGGGAGTCGGACTCTTCTGGTGGGGGTGGGTGTAGACCGTACAAAGGGCAAGGGCAGGCGTGTGGCTTCATCCTTAGTCACAGCTCCGCAAGACAACACACGGGTGTGTGCTGAAAAAGGATGGCTGAGATCAGGTGCGGGGTGTTTGAGTGTTGGGGCGCCAAAACTTTACTGATGAAATGGCTTGCGGGTGTGGGCACTTGCAAGTTGTAACATGTGCGGGTGGGCATGTTTTAACATGGGCGTGGTGCTATGAGCAGGCTAGACAGTGGCACACGAGCGGGGACGTTTGCAAGCATGCAAGACAACTAACAGGTGGTGAGTTCAGCATGAGACAGGAAGTTGCATGGTGAGGTGCATGGGAGTGTGACGAGTTGAGGGAAACAACCAGACAAGGCTGCAGGGTGCGGGCCAAGGCTGTTGAGCAGTTAGATGTGTCCAGGTTCATTGTATGTAGCAACTATCATGTAACTGTGATAAGAATGGAAAACTGTAATGTAATTGCTGTGCTATTTGTATTAAGGCTGGCAGAATCACATTCGTGATATAGAGAGTTGAGGGCAAGGGTTATGTGTGTAAGCTTGTTGTAACTTGAGTGCAAATCTGTGAGGGAGGATCAGATTGTAAACAGGGGAAAACGTGTGTGTATGTGATTGAGTTGTCCTTGTATTCGGATATATAATATAAGGTTGGGAATTTCCCGTATATGTTGTGCATTGACTCTCTTTAGCCTCTGTTGTATGTTGTTTGTGATTTGTAACAGGGGAAACGCACAACTGGAGGTAGGCTTGCAAGTGCTTGGTGTGCTTGTGCAGCACAGTGCCTAGAGGCGAAAAATAGGCCCTGTGACACTAACCACAATGAGGCATATAGTTTTTTCATGGATAGAGACTAACGTTGGGTGACCTTTTGTAGTTTTTTTACTAATTTGGGTGAGAAATTTAGTTTAGGCAATCAAGAGATGGGAAAGTGTTCCTTCGGAAAAACTAGGGTGGGAAAATAGTGAACCAAACAGATATATTCTGATATACTGTTGTTGAAAACAATACTTAATACAAATCAAAACGTTGCAGCTTTTGTGATTTTTTCAAGCAGTATGGCTGCGTGTGGAATGGAAACGAGCCTGTTTTGTGACCATGTGCGATTATAAACTAACATCAGCTTTAGACAGATTGTGAGCATGAAAGACATTTCAATTTATTTTTTATGTATCAAATAAATAACAGATTTGTTTCAAAAAGGATCTTTACAATAATTTTAGAAAAAATAAGACCCCTTTTTTTTAGATCAAAAGTGGATGACCTTAGTGACGTGATTTTAAATATTACCATTTCCTTCCCTTAAACCAAGCATTCAAGTAACATTTGACCACGTCACCTTTCCTTTCAAGATGTTTTAGAAAAATGAAATGGGCATTCAACACAAGCCTGCCTCGCGGATTTTGAATTGCAAAATTTGAGTAATGTTTCTGTATTACAACAATTATTTACAGTGTCTAAATAAATACTAGTTTCCTCGTAAACCTTCCGACAACACAGCCGCGAGGACAATTCAAGCAGAAGGAAGAAAAGCAGTGCCCATTGGATATAGATGAAGAACTAGTTCAACTCTCCAGAAATCTAATAGCATCAAAGTGTTTAAATGCACAGCAATCCGGCAAAGAGAATCAGCAACTTTGTTTGCTTGAAGACATGGTTAATTGGTATCACTGCTGAATTCCACTCACCATGAACAAACAATCAAGTTTCCTGAAGTGGGTTAGCTCCACATTAATGCGATTCTGCAACCACTTCACAGTCATCTTCTATTTGAATGGACCTGTATTCTGTTCTCCATTATCATATTTGAGATAAGCTCATCTAATCAAGGATCTGTCATAACAATCGTTTCCTTTCAAACAAATGTTTCCTTAAATTTGTAATTATGTTATCAAGAACCTCTTCATTTTCAATCAAATGTCGTTCAGCTGAATATCTATCACCGAAAACTTCCCCTTCTATCATGTAGTTATTTCCTTCTTCTACAATGACTCCATGTTCACAAGCCAATTCCAAAACCTCGGGTTCACAACAGAAGCCTTTCCCAAACTCTATCATCAAGTCAGATTTCTTCATTGCCGGTGCCAATTTATTTTTAACCACTTGAACACTAACTCCAAGACCAGTTATCTGAAAACCAGAATATTAAAACATCAATCTCAATGACTCAAGAAACATTCTCGTATCAGACAAGAACTAGAAATTAAAAGAATATAATAACACTATAAAATCAGAAGTGTGAGAAAAAGAATGATACTAACAAGGCAGAATTTAAAACTGAAACCTTCATAAATCAATGTACTGAATTAAATAAAAACACAGGAATTAATTTGTGAGATGTAATGCAAGATATAAATGAACAGCCATCAAAGGCCTTAAACATGAGTGGATAAATTATTTATTTTCAAGACTCGGAGCTAACGCATCAAAGTTCCACAAAGATAATCAATCCAATTACCAGCATAAGAAAATACTGCTTTCGGGATTTACAGACATTTTATGCAGAAGGATCTACAGGTGATATCCTGTGCTTTTTCATTTACGTGGAAAACCTAAGCCATACTATTATTTTGTACAAACTAACCTGAACGACACTGCAGACAGCAGAATGATGCATTTTAAAATATAAGATTTAATTGCATAAGTTTCTGTATTATCCCTTCTCTCATTTTTTTTCCTTCCTGCTCTCTATAGTTATGCTCTGTCAATTTCCTTTTCTTATTATTTTAAACCTTTAGTTGACCGCTCACTTTTGAAGGGCAAGTCATGGATTAGAAATCCCAACCCACCACACAGCCCATACACTGGGTATATTTTTTCCTTAAATAACCAGATATTAGGCTATTAATTGAGGAAACAGTAACTTCATCTCAAGAATAATTAATTTGACAGAGGCCTACAACTGTTAATCTGGCTCACAAATATTTAAGTGTTTTTATGGTCAACCGTGAAGTTTGCTTTCATCATTTTCTGACAATAAAAAGAAAACAATAAGATTATAATAAAACTACAACCAGAACAGAAAGGTGGTAGGAAGGAGCTGGAAACACTCCCTGACTGACTGAAAAACTCATAAATATTTAGCATTGGCAGGTTGTGATATCATTGAATTAGCTTAAATGAAGAAAATATCTCCAAGAAGACAATTAGCCTATGCATGCTCTGCATTGACAGTGGTTTGGTAGTAATAGACAATTTACCTTATCTCCAGTCTTGAGCAATCCTGTTCTCATCATTCTTAAACGTAAAGCTGCATAAAATTTCAATGAATTTCCACCACAAGTGACCTCATCAAAACGTCCAAAAACTTGACCTGGTTTTACACTTGACCTAACCTGGATTTAGAACATAACTAGGAATTTTTAGTGCCATATATACTACCAAAAGACGCAGTTCATATATACAAATTAAAAATTCAAACGTTATAATAAGAGGAATATAACCTGATTAAGAAAAATGATAACAGAATGAGATTGGCATAACGAATAATGAATTTTTCGGAGTGCTTGTGTCAATATTCTTGATTGTACATCACGATACACACCACCTACAGGGACATCAATTTCACATTGAGGGACAAGGGCTGCAACCTGCGAAAGCCATGTGAAGAACATAATTAAGCGTGAAAATTGGAGGATAACAGATTGACCAATAATTAATCATCTACATTCATTTGAAACAACAGTGTCAATGCTAGTTGTTGAAAGCATGCCTAAGTGGTAAGTGCAGTACCAAGGTAGACAAACACCTTTTACTTGTGATACAAAATACATTTCATGCAACTCTGGCTGAACACAGAAAAAGAATAAGATATTGCTTGAAGTTCACTGCAGAAAAGGATTTTTGTGTGCTATTTCTTGGTATTTTCCAAGTAAATCTAATTGGCCTCCACAAAAGTTTACACAAAATACAATAAACCCACTGGTTTCCAAATTTTTTTAAGAAATATCTGCTAAAATTCAGAAAACCATCATAAGCCTCCTCTAAAGTTTTAGAATATTTGTAGACCTCCCCTGATGGCCAACTAACCAGTAGCATCTACATTTACATAAGCCAAATCTCAAGGTAGACCAATAAATTCATTTCTATTATTCTTTACTAATACCAATTATTCAAAAACAACATTCAACCAACATCCAACTGGAGATAACCATTAAGGATGATTTACTTTAGAGTTGTAAGCAATAAATTAAACACCTTATGCTCATATACTTACAACTATATGTATATGTAGAGAATCAAACCCCTTATACTAGGTGTGGAGATTAGCAGCCTCCTCATCTTTCAATGCACAAAAAAGTACCAACTTTGGTAAACTGAAACAACTCATGACGCAATGGCAACTGATCTAATTGACAAAAAGATCATCTTATCGGATGAAAAGCTAGATTATCTCTATTGGTGATAGAGGAGAAATCAAAGATCCACATTGTCAGTGGCAAAAGCCTTATTTGGCACTGAAAAATTAATCATCCTTGACCCCAATGGATAAACAGATATCATCTCTATCGGCAATAAACAAGAGATCAAACATCAACATCATCAATGGCAATTTATCATATCTTTCGATGGTAAAATCCTCATATTTAGCATTGACATGGAAAAGGCAATTTTTTTAGCAAGAAAAATAGAGACTAAATGGAGTCACACATTGAAAGGAGACCATAAATGCTGCTGCCACTGGGAAGCTGGGATCATCTCAAATCAAGAATCACATTGCAGCATGCTGACTTTTAGATATATGATCTGAATGAATTCTAGATTACCTTGCTTTCGTCAAGTACAGAAGATCATCTGTAGCAAAGATTTTGGGAAGCTGCCAATCTCACCTGAATGGAGGGAGATTAGCATTCCATGAGATAGGCTGCAGCAAAAGGCAAGAGCTTGTTGGTGATCCTTCCTCTTCACCCTTCCTTTTTCCATCCTTTGTTAAATTTTCACTCGCCAACAGTATTAGCCAACAGGCTAAAACAAAAATCTTTTCAATGAATTTTCTTTCTTTGGTATAATACATCTTTGTTCTAGTGATTTAAAATTGCATACATTCATAATACTATTGTCAAGCATAATGTCATATGAAATAAATCACTTACTTTAATGACTACGATAAAATTTAAAGATTCATAGATACCACTGTCAAAGATAATGTCATATGTGAAATGAATCACTTACGCTATCAACCACAATTACATCTACAGACCCACTTTTGGTCAGCGTATCAACCACACTCAGCAAATTTTCAGCTGAATCAGGATGCGAAATCAGAAGATTTTCTGTATCTACACCCATCGCTTCCAAAAGGGAGGGGTCTATTGCATTCTCTGCATCAAGATATGCACAGTATCCTGCCAAAACCACATTAGAAAATAAAATACTGCAACAGCAATTATTGAACTTGCAGTTATAATATCTCTTCAACATGACCAATAAAAGTTATAAAGGCCAAACAATATCGAATAAGTGAATAAGTGATCTAAAATAATTTGTCTATGTAACCTAAATTAATATTGCCATAGACATGTTTCTTCTGTATCTTTGATAACCAAAAATTTGCCATGTTCACATAAAAGGAACAAGATATTTTTCTTAAATGGCTGCTTCCACTGCAGCCAAAGGGAATATTGAAATATTTCTTACTCTTAACCAATTGTTGCCAATATTTCTTACACAAAAGATTGAAACTTTTAAGAAAGTCAATCCAGCGCATAATGACAATCGAATAAACAATGGAGTAAAAGATGAGAGTATGCAGTGAAACTTCAGAAGACTAACTACAGAAGTATCTTGAACAAAGAGTAGATAATCCAAACAATTACTGGAAAAAATGTGATTTGTGCATTAAACAAATAATCTAAGAGTGAAGTTATGCTGATTCAAGCAAAAAACACATTCATGTTCACGTCCACATTATCAATTCTGACCAGGACAATTAAATTCCAAAAGAAATCTCATTACACCCCCCAACCCTCGAAAGGAAAAAAAATAATTCTTCACATACCTAACACTTAGAAGCGACAAATTTAAGCATGCATGCTATGTTCAGAGCACACATGACTATCAAAGTTATTTATGTGACAACCGGTGGTGACAAGAAATTGTAACATGTCCAGCAAACTCACTAACATCAGAAGAGCTCCATATTGTTATGGAAAAACTAAGTCATGAAGCTCTTAGATAAGCTAGTCAATTAATATTGGCAATCACATATCCATCCATACACCACAAATTGTTAAATAAATCACAAAACGAAAAGGATCATTATGATCAGAATTTGAAATATCAGAAAGGAAGCTGGTAGCTTCAGATTCAATCACAAAACAATTGTTGGCTAGAGGCTCAAATCCATTGGTGAAGACAGCATATACCACCATCAAAAATGCCACATGGCTTGGTCTCACAATTCTTCCTTGATCTAGATTTGATCAAATTAATTGTTCCATTATCCACTTCACGAAGGAAAAAAAAAACATTTACAGCACTTCAGTACAAAAGATCATTGTGATCAAGGTTTTTAGGCTATATAAAGAGTAAATTATAGCAGGGAATTCACTAAGAATATTACCCTTGCAAAAAACAACTTTGAAATGTCGTTAAAATTATTCATTATGAGCATTCCATGGTCATAGTGGATTAATGTCCTCCGGACTGTTAAGAACAGAGTCAAAGAACAATCTACTTAAAGAATAATATCTGTTGCCACCTTAAAAACTAATGGAAAATCAATATTGATAGTATTTATTCTAATTAAAAGTTACGACGAAATATAACCTGGGACATAATGTGAGTGGAAAGCAATCTCACATGAGTGAATCCAAAAATTTAAGCAGATAATATGACATAATTAGACTGAAATTGCTAATGATTAGCAATAGAAGATATACATTGCTAAAAATGATTTTGAATAACGCCAAAGTAATGCACATAAGCAAACAAGTATGAGAAGCAAAATCAATGTGCACCTCCAAGCTTTTGAGCTTCCTTGATAACATGAAGTGCAAGTGTAGTCTTGCCAGATGCTTCTCGCCCAAATATTTCTACAATTCTTCCCTGCAGGGGGCAACGTAGATCTCTCAGCAAATTTGTAAAAGAATTTTTCACGTTCAATTTTTTATTTTTTATAAGAGAATATATCACATATAATTGCAGCTATAGTTAACACATATGAAAACAGCTGGTACTGATCAAACTTTAAAATTAAAAAAACCACTATATAAATACAAAATAATATCTAGACAAAAAAAATATGTCAACTTAACTCTCTCTAACCTTTATGTCTGTATCAAAACAGGAACCAATGGGGAGGCAGCCACTAAAAAGTGGCAACACATGTAATGTGTCATTCAGCAAAAGATTATTCCAAGTGTACATGTGCAGCATATACTTATAGTAAAAGTGATGCAAAAGCATAAAAAAGAAAAAGAGAAAAAAGAAATTTTTAATTATATTGACTTTTTGTTTGTCCCACATGGGAGAGATATGTTTTACTTTTTCACTTGGAAGGCTATAAATAAAGCCTTACTTTGTCCCTTGTAATCATCCATTATCATTATCAAATATATTTGAGTTAAAACATTTGCTTTCTCTTCCTCTTTGAGGTTATTAGTTATCCTTGGCTTAGCCAACCAAGGTAACCTTTTTGGCTATTCTCGTCATAATGAGGTTTATTATAACCTCACGATAATTGGCATCCATAGTGGGGTTTTCAACCTCACCAAGATTGGGGCTTCTCGCAACTTCTCGGCGTCAAAAACAAGGGGCAATAAGACAACATTCTTTTTTAGCTAATCACCTTTGGTAATCCTCCAATCCCAAGTGCTAAATCAAGCTTTAATGAGCCTGTAGATATTACAGGAGCACGTCGTGAGCTGAAAAAACGCTTCAAAGACAACATAGATTCTTTACCAAATTCACCAGAAAGCTGTGAGAGAGCTTGACGGAGTGCATTATCTTTCTCTATTGTTTTGAGATCATCAAGAGGTTCATCATGTTCAAACTCTGAAACATGAACTGAAAATATAAGAATTAGTTTTTCAAAATGTTAGACGAAATAGCTGATGTAAAACCAACTATATTAGCAGACAGCTGAGAAACTTCCATAAGAGTTGTGCAGCTTTTGCATGATCACAATACATGCTAACATTAGTTAAGGAACGAATAGTGCCAAAAACATAATATTAATTACAATAGATTCAGTGCACCACTTGTAACAACCCATCGAGACACTAAAAATTTAAAGCTCAAATGATAGGGAGGGGGTTCAAGGAATTTATATGCTCAATAAGTTCTTAATCCACATAAATGCATCAGAAGATACTCTTCATCAAGGCTCATCTTTCTAGGCCACCAATGACTGAGTTTCTTCCCAAATGACGTTATCTCTAGCAAGATGACCATTTTTTAAAAAAGAATTACTTATGACAAAATCCAATACCAAGTACTTGTGCTATCGGAAAAGCACAACTCATACTATTGACTACTGAGAGAATAATAGTGTCATTCACTTAACCCTAGATACTAGTTTACAACCACTTATTACTGCAACCTTAATTACATTTTTGAAAAAAAAAAAAAAAAAAAAATCCAAATCAAACAGTAGCAAAACAAAAATATGCTCCAAAATCTACAATAATGTCACGTGACACATATTTCTAATCTTCATTGTCCATAGTATCCTTGATGGTGAAGCAGTCGACAAGAAGTTTGAATGTCAATGGAGAGAAGAGACAGAGGGAGAGAAGAGACAGAGAGAGAGAATTTGCTGTTAATTACCTACAGAAGAAAGAGAGCGGGCATTCATTCCAATATAAGTAATTGCATCTCTTCTTCCACTCTGAAGGAAAGCAGAAACAACAATAGGCCAAATGAGATTGATAAAATATCACATTATATATTCATAGTATAACTAATTTAGTTTTAAAAGAAAAATAGAGAAGTGAGGAAGGCAAAAGACAATAAAAACACTACTCATCTCCAATGGAAAGAATTGAAGAAATGATTCATGTGGGGGGAAATGTGCATATCACTAACGAATCACAAGGTTCTAAACATTCAAAATTAGCCAAAAATTATAACTCTTTCCCATTGCTTGCATTATTTGTTACACAACTTAAATTGTTCATTTAGAAAAAATAAGTAGCAATTAATTGTTACATTAAAATATCAAAAATCTTTCACATAAGTCAAGTAAAAAGTACATTTAGCAAACCTTAAGGTCCAAAATCGTGGCAACGAGTAGCTGCATTGGTTATATTCTCACAACTAATAATTTCTTAAGCCAAAATAATTATGACCAGTTGGTGGTGCTTTTGAAAATAGAACGCCCTGAAAATGGATTATCTTGTAAATTGATTGAAAGTGGGTAATTCCATTCCATTACAAAATAAGCCACATCATATTTTTCCAATACAAATTCTATTCTTAATCATTTAACTTTTTCTTTTTATGTGCAAATTCATCAATTCTTTCACCTGCAACTCTTCAAATGATTTTAACCCATAAACCCCAACCCTATTAGTAGCTCAAATTCAATACCGAAAAATTGCAAACTACATTTATAAAAGATTACAGGTACTTCTACAGACAAACACACACAGAAACATAAGCAAAAACGTAAATCTTAAAGACTTAACAAAATCTAAAGCCAAACAGCAAGTTTTGCAAGCCCCACAAACAACAGCTTTTTCACTTGAGAAAGTTACTAAAAAGTAAAATGAACACTCTACTGCATACGAGAAAGAAAGACCTGACAGAAGAAGCGAAGTCTTGCAAAGGAATTGATACGAAGGGACTGCACGAACTGTAACATCTTTGTTCTGGCACGGTTTTGCTTTGATAGAAGTTTTGAGTTTAGGGTTTTAACTTTTAAGTGGGAAAGAAGTTGCCTTTTTATTTTTAAAACATTGTCACGATTCATTTCAAGTTTTGGAATAGTTATAAATAAAAATGAATTTTACGTTATAATAAGTTATAATTTTTTTAATTATCATCTTTAGAACAGTTATAAATAAGAATGAATTCTACGTTATAATAAGTTATAATTTTTTTAATTATCGTCTTAAGAAAGTTGATAATTATCTGTGTATTACAAAAATATATATATTATATTATATTAAAAGTCAAAAAGGAAATAAAGAGTGATCGACTGTTCCTACCCAAGATTTGGCAATATCCTAGGTCAGTACCCATGGTTTCATAAATCCCAGATTCCTACCCTTAAACTAATAACAAATTATTTAATATAACGGTTAAAGGATAAAGTAGTCATTTGCATTGTCGTTCACCGATCACCTCTTGTCATTTGTTTTGGTGTAGCTTAAGCTTTTCCAATCGATCATGTCACCGAAAATCATCCCCAATCAACGTAGTGTGTTGTGCGTTGGGTTGGGATGTTGAGTGAGGCATTTCTTCAAACAGGTGGTGGGTGTGATTTGGATATGAGAGGTTGTGCTGCTATGGGTTTTGCGACGACTAGTTTACACACAAAAATCACAACCAAACACAACAACACAGCCATAGGTGAAGGAGGAAGGGGGTTATACAATTGAAAGGGGTGGGTCGCAAAATGAGACTGTCAAGTGGCGGCGTGTGTAGTTCGCGAAGACAAACGGCGATTGGGGACAACTGGTGGGGATAAGTGTTTTGTTGAAGAGAGGATGGGGGTTTGAGTGGTGGTGTCAATGGCGGTTTCCGATGTCAAAATTGATGGTAATCTAGCTTGAAAATGGGGGAAATGCGTAAAGGGGCAATGGTAGTCGAGTGGCGATTTGAGGGTGCACTTAGACCTGGGCATTTGGGATTGGTCCCAAACACTCGGCCCAAAGGACTAGTCCTTGTAGGGCCCAGTCCTAGAAGGCCTATGAGATGAGGGATCAGTCCCTTGATCGAGCCCTCCTCCAAGGTCCCAGGCCTAGGCCCAATCCCCTTTGCTTAATTTCAAAAAAGTCATTTATAAGATACCCAAAAATCCCTTGAAAATTTTGAAATAGACAAAAATATTAAGGGTTAAATTGATATTTTACAAAAAAAAAAAAACAATTAATACAACACATGACCGTTGGCAGCCAACGGTCATGTGCTTGGGGGGGAAAAGTTTTTTTTTTCATTTTCCCCCTGATCTTACACTATAATAATCCCCCAAACTTCCAATTTTTTTCACATCAACTCTCAATCTCTCTACTCCGATCCAATTCTCATTCATATTTTCTTCAATTCAATTTATATTTTATTCATATTATTTATTTATATTTTTCTATTTTTCAATATCATCTCTTATTCATATTATTTTTTTTCCATTTTAATTATTTATTATTTTATCATAAATTCATAATGGAAAGGCCAAATGAGTTCTACGCTCCATCAACTGAAGAAATGGAAGGGTTCGATCCATTTTCCCCCTATCTAGAGGCAGCAGCTGCAATTCAAGAACAACAACCACGTTCAGCTGAGACGGGGTGCAGCCAAACACAAGTGAGCTGCGACTCCACAACTCAACCCTCCCGATCGTCAAAGAAGGTCATGTCTGATGTATGGTGACACTTCACCAAATCAAAACGGGCAAAGGCGAATGGAGAGGGGGAAGAATCGTGCTGGGTATGTAATTTTTGTGGAACCACCATCAACGTTGAGAATGGGACTTCGACGATGCAACGATATTTGGAGAAGAAGCACCCCCAAATAATGCAGTTGTCCGGTTCATCTTCAACCAGACCATGTAGGCAAATTCAAACTCAACTTAATTTTAATCCACAATCTCCAACTCTGTCAACATGGCAATACAATGCACTCCAAGCACGAGAATAAATAGCAAAATACATATTTGCTATGGACTCTCCCCTTTCTTTATCTAAAAATCATTTTTTTATTCACTTGATTAAAACTGTATTTTGTCCAGCATATACCCCTGTTAGTGTAAGGAAACGACCAAACTCATGGCAGCAGAAAACAAAAATTTTAGAGCAGGGATCATTTCCATTAAACCAAGATCAGGGCACAAATTATACATTTTATATGTTGAATCAAAATCTGCTGTAATGTAAACAATTAGAGTAAAGTTTAGAGTTCATACGCACGTTTGGAGGCTCTTTCAAACTTGTCTCTGACTGGGTTTACTACCGATTCAAAATAGAATTGAACCAGTGGTAATCCACATGAAAATAACCCAAAAAGCTAAAGAGAGATTTGTTGGATCCTTTTTAGCTTCAAGAACCAAATCAAGAATCAAGAAATTTTGATTCAACAAAGCAAGGGTGGCGTGAGAATTGAGAGGGTTGTGTGTTTTCTTTTTCTTTCAAGTGAAAAAAGGATTGAATGAATTCACTTCTTTAATTCACATAACATTGCACTTATATAGTGCACATAAAACCCTATTCCAATAAGGAATAGGCTTGAGCTTCAACCCAAACAGTTCCTATATCCAAACACTCCCAATTATGATATTTTATTATAATTATTATTATTTTCAATTAAACTCAATTAATGTATTTTACAGAAATACATTAACATTTAATTAATGATAATAATCCATTTAAATAGATGTGTACATATATTTAAATATAATCTCATTTATTTAATTTTAATGTCAAATTAAATATAGGCAACAACCTCAGTAAACTTAATTGCACTGTGAGATTACCAAAATACCCTTTCGCCCTAAAAGACGAAAACGCCCCTTGCACAAACTGATTCTTAAATTATCTTTTATGTGTGTGACCCGTAGGCTCTTCATCATACTGGCAGTGTGTAGTATCGTAATTAACACCAATTAATCATCTCATTACACACAGACCAAGATTGGCCCCCAGCAAGGCATCAGGGTCACCCGATAGACTCGGATTCAGTTAAGTAGTTACCTGTCAACGATATGGTTACCGTGCAATCTAATCATTTCATCATCTGATATCTCATCGAAACAGAGGTATAGAAATAGAGCCAACCTCAGTTACTCTCGATATGTATGTATTTAGTTACTGGACCAATGACCGCAATAATAAGTTAGATTAAGCAACAACTCAATCCCAATGTGGCCACAGTTTTAGTGTCATTATCATTCATTGAATTATGCCATGAGATATCTTCTCCTGTACGCAAGAGTGATGAATCCTCTGTCGATCCACCATAGTCTTGATACACTCCTCGATGCAACCAATCATACTATATTGACAGCTTTGAATAGAACTGTGTTGAGTTAGTGCCAAACTACACCAGTCGGTGCATAAGGCGCTCTGGTGATCTCAAGTCTAAGGATCACATGCACCACCATTCGTTAGAGGATTTATTCCATAGACATTGGGGTTACCGTCTATATGGAATCCTCCGGTGGGTCAGTCTGGTGAACTTTCCTACAGTAAGTAAGGGTGTTCAAAAGAACCGTTCAGAACCGGAACTGTTGCGTACCCGGTGTTGGTTCTGGTTCCTACCCAGAACCGATCGTCAACGAGTAGGTTTCGGTTCCAAAAATCTGGAACTGACACTGTACAGTTCCGGTTCTTATTCCTACAGTCAAGAACCAGGACTGAAATGAAATATTATTAAAGAGTGGGGGTTTATTGTAATTTACCTACCACATATAAAAACTTCAGATTAGGGCAAAAAAAATCATTTTCTTTCTTCACTTTGACGATCTTCATCTGCTCTTGCTACTCTCTGTCCACTCACTTCAGATTAAGGTAAAAACTTTAGCTTTTTTTTCTTTGCAAAAAATTTCATTTTCTTTCTTCCCTTCTTACGATCTTCGTCTGCTCTTGCTCTCTTTCCACTCACTTTAGATTAAGGCAAAAACTTCAGCTTTTTTTTCCTTTAATGCTTGGTTTTGTGAAACGTGATCCTTGGAATCTAGAAGAAGACACTAAAGCACTCCAATTTCTTAAGGTAATTTCCATTTCTTTCTTTTAATTTTATTTTTGAATTTTAACTTGATCTACAGTCTAGAGTAACTTCATTTCTACTGTAGAGTAACTACAGATCTAGGTTTGTTCTGTTGATGGAATATATGGTATGAAAACATTTAACAGTAATTAACTAACTTTATGGAATCTGTCAACCAAAGAGATGAGTTCTTACAAAACGGTAGAGTTGTCCTCCCACACTAATATAAAATTTATTCTACTTATTTTGGATTTGGAATAGAAACAGAGAACTTTGTGTTATGAACTTTCACATGTTGCAGTATATAACTTACGTACTAACTTTTATAGAGATTTTGAATGCTTATTTGGATTTTTTTGGTGTGTCTGATAGCACATATTTGGATGGAGTTTGTTAATGGCTATGCAATTTGCGAGATGATAGTATTGGAATAAAGTAGTTTTTAAACATGTATGATACAATAGGATTGTATACTCCACTTGGATTTTGGAAGAAAGGTGCTTTCTTTTTTTTTTAACATTATGGCATTGAACAATACTAGGTAAACGTGTTTTTGAGACTTTGTAATTCCTCTTGAGAATAAACTTCTTCGTAAATTTTAGGTTCGTTGCCAGAAATTGGTTAAAGAGATGGGAACTTTTCAAGTCTATGAGAATAATATCAATGTCCATATGTATATAGTCGTGAAGAAAAGAAAGGAACAAATGAAAATGAGAACAGGGAAAGTTCCCTTGATGAATTGCCGATCTGTATTATAGATTTTATGTCATTACGTGTTACCTTCTAATTGCAAATTTTAATTTATTTTGCCATCTAACCAAAAATTCCTTATAATATAGACAACTAGTTGGTTGTCTATCTCTTTTTAGTTGTTGTATATGTGTGTCCTGTACACTTTTTCTTTTAAGTGATTGTGATGATCTAGCATTTCATATGAAGGCTGCTAAGAATTTTCACTCTAACCTTTCAATCACTTCTGAGCATAGACATAGTTATCTGAGTAATTCA